AAACCAAAATACTCCATCAGTTTCTCATTAGCCTAGATTTCTGCAGGGCCACACTGATCTTTCTTCTTTGTCCCCTTCAAATCCTCTTGAATTTAAGCATTTTTCAAAAATCCCTCTAATCTACTTCCCTCTAATCTAATTTCATCGTATCTTTAAGCATAGTTAAGAAAAGATCCTTTTAATGTTCAGCTTTTTCAGGAAGGCATAGACTACAGAGATAGGATAATAATTTGGAACAGCCCCTGAAATTGCATTCAAATAAAAATCTTCCTGATTTGATTTGGGGTTTCATTTCTCCTTTCTCAATATTATATTTTCTCTGTATATTTAACCATGGAACTATGTGCTTCACATCTTCCAGGCTAGGGAGATGCTGTCTGTCTATCATTTCCTTGGTCAAGGATTTGGGACTGAAGTACACTTCTGATGAGTGAAATAATTTCAACTGTAAATAAGGAGAAAACATAACATGTAACTACTTAGACCATTTTGAGGTATGTGTTAGTATAGTGGAGTTATCCTCAAACAGCTTGGATTGTCCCTAGCAAACCAAACCTAGGACAATGGAGATTTTAGCCCCACCAGGACCTGTGCAGGGTCCTTTGGGGTTTATCTGCTCTCCCTTGTTGTTCAGCACATCACAGGCCAGGCCAGTGACACCACCTCTGCAGAGAGGACACTGTGCTCTGTGTCTTTTCCTGTCATGTATGAACCTTGGGAGCTCACAGCTCTCTGAAATTCAGTGCCTGGGCGAAGGGAAGCTGGTAGAAAATGCAATCAGGCAGGACAAAGTAATGCAAATGTGAATAATGCTGGACTGGAAGATACTTAGAAGAACACTCCTTTTTATGGCTCTTAGGCCCATCTTTTGAGAGCTCGTAATTTAATTAAGCCACGTCTGGATTTCCCAATTTATCAGATGACAAGAACCAAAAACCTGTGGACCGGAAAGAAGACTCTAAATTTCCTTGGAAATCCTGTCTCAAATTCAATGGATTTGCTAATTGGCAAAACTATTAAAACAAATTAAGAACTCACCCTCTCACTCTTTTTTTTTATCTTATTTTAATACACTTATAAACTAACAATTTAATATTTAGAAAGAAAATCAAAATAGCTTCATGCTGGCAGTTGAGAAACAGAGCAAGAAATACAGATTACTTCTTCCCTGCTTAAGAGTATGGAAACTCTTGATGGGTTTTATTAATTATCTTATGATGAAATGAAGGAAGTAGTTTATTTTAAAGCTTATGTCATGATTTCTTAGCCATTTGCAGTACAGTTAATATATTCATTATTTTGGGAAGTAATCAGAGTGGTTAATAATTAGTATTGTTTTCAGTAATTCAGAAGACAAAAGTAAAGTAGCATTGTCAGTGGTTGAACTGCCCGAGCTGTTGTTAGTCTTAATTTGATTTTATTTTATTTCATTTCATTTTATTTCATTTCATTTCATTTTATTTTATTTCATTTCATTTTATTTCATTTCATTTCATTTCATTTCATTTCATTTTATATTGCTGCCTAGAAATTACTATGCAACACGATCTTCATGGCCCCATTGTTCTTGGTGGTGTTCAGACACAGAAAGGAAAGATGGTCTCCATACCAAAGGAACTTACTACCTTTAAAGAATCTGAATCTTTTGTATCATGTTAGCTTTCTCTTTTAAAAGTCAGAGCCCTGAGGAAAAGTGGCCAGATACTCACCAGGTCAGAGAAGAAGGCAGCCATCCTCTATACAAGAGCTGATGCCTCTTGCTTACTGGCTAGTACGTGCCAAAGGAGCCAAATGCTCACATTAAACAATAGCAGTATCAGTGAACTAGTCCCATGTTATTGAAGTTAAATTTTACTTCAGAGGTTTTGGAGTTAATTACAGATATTTCAGCAGTCGTACAAAGTTTAGGATTGTTGGATTAAATATTTCAACCAATGGTTATGTCTAGCCCAAGTAAACAAGGTGGTTTCTCTTGCAGGGAAGCTGGATACTTCATGACCTCTGTCTTGTGCTAGAGGGATCAGGAACTGAGGCATCAACTTTGAACAGGATTCCCATAATCACAACTTGTTCAGTTTTCAGTATAAGCTGAGAAAATAAAGACAAAGTTATCTGTTGGGAATCTTAGATGGGGCTTGGACAGTGAACTATAGGACTTTGACATATAATAGGAAAGAGCTATCCTTTCTTCATGTGATGCAACTGGAGCACGTCGTAACTTAATCATTACTGAAAGGAACTGAACTGCTCCAGGATTTTGAAATGGGGTGCAAATGTAACGATTCTACAGCGTCATACCAGGCTTGACCAGCTAAGTATTTAATAGTAGCTGATTTTCCTTTGCGAGCAGAGAGAAAGATTCATCACGTACAGTTTTGTCTGGCATTTCCATGAGTCAGTTTATTTATTTCTGTCTGCAATGAAAAACACAGTTATTTTGAAACTGTTTTGTAACCTCCACAGCTGGATTGATGTCTCTTTCTTCTGTGAGATAATCTCAGGCTTTAACTTCATTTATTTCACAGTTAAGAAGGTTTCGTATGTATGAAGTTGGCAAATGGCTTAGTTGTCCCTTGCCATTTACACATTTACACTTCAGTTGAAGAAGAGGATGAAGAAATCATACAGGGTTTGTTGGATGAAAGCAGTCATATTTGCTAGAAAACACATCACATGCATAGTCACAGAGTCTCAGGATAATGTCTGAACTGCAGCATGTGGCACCACCTGGCCATCTCTTCTGGCACTGTGCAGGCCTCGGCGTGAACTTGACTTCACTGTTGATGTGTGCTCAGAGTTCATGGGGGGATTGTTTCCAGTTTAGGTTCTGCAGCAGATAAACTGTTGATAGAGCAAGGAACCAGACTGTCCCTTTGATGCCAAGAATTAATTTCCTTTTCTGTAAAGTTGTACAAAGTTGAAACAACGTGGCGTACATCTGACAGTGGGAAGAAATGCCATGTTAGGTGTTGGTATCTGCCTTGCTCAGATGATATTGGGTGAAGACACAAACAGGCAATAATATGTAGCTTTCAGCACGGGGGATTCCTTAAATGCAGCCTGTCTCTGGAAGAAAATGTGCATTCCTGAAATTTCTGAATGACTGTCCTCTCTGTCCCTGTCACCTCCCATGTATATTTGAACCATACCTTCTTGCTGTTTCATCCCTTGACCAGACTGCCACCAGAATACAGCTCATGCTCCACTGAGCACAGGCAAAGGTTGGCCTCTGCTCCAAAGAGCTGTTCCACTTCGTTGTCACATTAATGTTGCTCTCACTTCCTGGTGAGGATCTTCTGGGGAAGGTTTTCCTAATAACACCTAATGAATAACTGAAATCAGAGAAGTGGCTAGAGAGCCTCTCCAGCAATGCTGCACATTGCCACTCTGCTCTTGTTTCCAATGACTTCAGGGACTGCTGTAATGGAATGAAGGATGTTTTCAGAATGACTGGTAGGGAAGAGAGAATTCTGTTTTGCAAAAAGTTGAGACTTCCTTTCTATCTTGGTAGCTGTCTCCAAATGACTGGTAGTTTTTAATCATGTTGTGTGTATATGGAACAGTCTGTACATGGCAGTGTTCAAAGCCAGGTGGGATAAAGCCTTGAGCTGCCTGGTCTAGTGGGAGGTGTCCCTGCCCATGGCAGGGGATTGGGACTAGATGATCTTTAAGGTCCATTCCAACACCTCAACATTCTATGTTTCTATGAACACCAGAAAATTACTGAGTTTTCTGACTTTAAGGACACTTGATGTTTCATAGATTATATTTTAATGAGAAGTCTTAAGTGTCCCTCAATAAAAAACCACCGGCAATAATGAAAAGCCACAATGGTGGAAGGGTATGCACACCAATAGGTTTTTCTAGTCAGCTGTCCCTGATGGAGATCATGATGTGGGGAAAGAAACATTTGTGGAGGCTAGAAGTTTTATTACAAGGCAGTCTGCCATTTTTATTATGTTTAACATTGACAATTAAAAATTAGCAGCAATTCAGCTGAACAATTGAATTCTTATTTAGAATAACCTTATTTGTGTTGAAGTAAATATGCCATTCAAAGAAACAGCAGAGGTAAATCCACTTATTTTACCTTACAGGTCTAGTGTTTGGACTTTAAATTGTATAGTGTGCTCCACTGTGAGCCTCAGCTTTGTTCATGGTCTTTCTAATAGTATTGCTTTGCTACTAGGACCATGTTAGCATCTCATCAATAGAGGGAAACATGAAGAATATGAGACACTTTCTAAAGAAAAGAAGAGTCTCAGGAGTCTGTGTATCTCCAAAACAAGTTTCTGGTGAGATCAGTTCCAGTCTGAGGCAGTTCTTCTGGGGTAAATTTGGTCCAGGTAGCCAACAGTCACACAAGGAGAGGAGCAGTTCAACTGCTGTGGGATTCACAGCCCATGAGATGTCTGTGGGAACTCTGCTCCTGGAAGGAGAGCTACAGACTTGAGATGACAAAAGTGACAGGCATGGTCGCACAGAGTATCTAAAATGACTCTAGGTCCTTGGGGTTTATGGTGACTGGATTCCATCCATCAGGCCTTTAGCTCTATTGCCACTGAAAGGCAGTCCAAAATGGTTCAAGTCTGTCAAAGTAGATACTACACAAGGACAACATGGCATGGTGCATGGGAACCTGGCAAGATTTGATTATTCAGTTGAGTCTAAAGAAACAAAGAATTTGTCTCCTATTCCACTAAATTTTTTCTTTAATCTGTTATGGATTGAACCCTAGCCAGAGCTGGCAAGCCAAGAACTTCACTGTTCCCATTTCAGGGCTGTAAAAACATGTTCAGAAATCATAGAGAGAAACTGGATCACAGGTCTTTCCTTTCTCTGTGGTCAGCAGAGTGTTTAGAAATTCTACATGTAGTTTCAGTGTGTATTAGTTGCTCTGTTAAGAAGAGATTTTCACATCAGCAAGTTAAGCCAAAATGCTCATGATTCACATGAGTCTATGCTGTTAATATCAGCCCTCATCCCTTTTCAGAGCTGCCCAGAGTGGAGTGCTTGAGAAAGGAGCTGATTTGGCAAAACGGGAACCTTGTAAGAGGCAGATGGGAAAGCTGACAGTCCATTTGAACTGACTTACTACTCAGAAAATGACAAATGTCTTTTTGTTTTCTTCTTTGTAAGAAAGCCTGATTCCCCTTATGGCTGGTCAAAGCCTAGTGCAGAAGGTGTAATCCTCTGTGATATGATTTGGAGTTGTTGGAAGACGTTTATTTTTAAAGTTTAGCTTATTGAATTCTTCTGTGATTTCCATGATTGATTTCCCTTTTGTTTCTGGAAGGAACAGGTGGATAATTGTCCCTGAAATGAAAAGTACCACCATAGAGATGAGGAAGCAGAAGTGCTTGAGTCTTTCCTGCAGGGAAGAGCAAAGGAAGAAAGAGAGCAAAATGAGCATATCATTTCTTTTGTCACTTACTTGGCACAGTTTTTGTATTTGTGTCCCAAAGTACTTTGAATTTAATAAGGAATTCTTTGCATTTTGACCTTTGAGAAATATTTTGGTCTGAATAAGTATCTTGAGCAAACCAGGGCCCTTCAGGTACAAAAGTGGACTTGGCAGAGCAGGTGGCAAGACCACTCTAGACTGACATAGCATTGTCATCTGCTGCTGCTTGTCTTCCTGATCCCATAGCCAACTCAAGCTTAGTGCCCTTGGGGAGCATCCCAGGCAAAGCCACTCACCACAATGAACGGGAAGGTTGTTCCAATCACAAAGACTCCCGTCCAGTTGAGAAGTGAACTGACCACAAAGGCAGGTGGTCTGCAGGAGTGCTTGAAAATTTCCACCCTAGTGGAAACTGTGGCACCAGCTGAAAGGAAAGAAGAACAGGAATTATTACTTGCTGATGTGTTTGGTTTCAGCATTTGAATGGAGCGTTACTGTTATACAGTCAGCAAATAGATGCTGCTATCATGGACTGACATTCAGCACACTTGAGTATGTCACTGTTTTTTACAAAAGAAAATGTTTGTGGTATCTTATAAACTGCTAGACATCAGTTTGTTAAAGTGGGAAAACTTTCAAATAAATTTATTGGGGAGATCCAAGAATTAAGCAGTTTACACTTGAGGAAGTCTGAACATCATCTCATGAAAGAAGCTGTGTCAGGATGGAATGGCAATTATTATTGCTTACAAGAATTCCCACCATGATTCTGCTAGATGACCAATGAGTGATCTTCCCAGTTTCACTTCCTGGGCATTCCAGTTATGTTTTGGATCACAGGACTTCAACAGTTTTGAGTTAGGAAAATAATTCAACCCTGCCATGTGGGAAGGCAAATATTTGAAAGATTAATAGCCTCAAAAAAAGTAAATGTAAAGAGTATCAGGCAATAATTGCTAGGGAAGGGATTACTCCAAAGCAGGTTTTCTGCACTGCTGTCTGTGTGGGATAAGATGTAACATTATACAACAGAATTTAAAATAACTCTTCCTTTTCTTTTTCTCTTTTTTTTTTTTTTTTTTTTTTGGTATTTTTAAAAAATCTTTTACCCATCTGCTTTTGCTCTGTTTTTGCTGTATTTTTCCAGTGTGTTCCTTTCCTCTTGTTAGCAAAACCCAAACCTGATGGCATTGAAGTTTGTGGCCAATGACTGGACTCACAATGTTTAAATGACTACAAGATTATGTTAAATGAATTCACTTATGCTAAATATTATGCAATATAGTGCAGTATGTTACTAGCCATATTAGTAAGCTCACATGACTCAATTCCTTTATTTCCTTTGACTGAGCACTTACCTGGCCCAACTGCAAAGACAATTACAAACAGGATAATGAGACAAAGACTGCAGTATGGCATCCAGAAATACCAGTCCTGGGGAAAAAGAAACCCAACATAACAAACTTGTGGGTGAAAATTGTTAATAACCATTGGTGAGAAACGCTCTTTTTTTCCAGCAGTCACCTCAAGAAAGGAATGTTCAGTGTGTGGGAACTGACAGAGAGATGTGAGTGCTTTTTTCCTGTGGATGGAGCCGTGAAGTTTTTGTTAGGTGTGCAGAGAAACAGATTTGCTAGTGCAGAGCAGCTGTCAAACTTGGAAGGCTTCAATTAAGGAAAGTCTGAATAGTCCTTTTCCACCCTGTCTTCCTTTCTTCTTGACCTCATAGTGCTTCCTCCAGCACTTGGAGATATGGGAAGGCCAAATCATATCTTTCTTCACTTTGTTAATTTATAGATTCAATAACTGGCACTGAAAAGGAGCTTTCCTAGATCTTAGTCAAGAAGAAATGAGACTCAGTGCTTCAGGAAAAGAGATTTCCCTCTCCTATGTTCATGAACAAAACCCTTCATGAACAAATCAGAAATGGAAGTCTGCTGCCACCTTGCTTCAAGGCTAGTTTTACAGTGGTATCCATGCAGTAGCTCTGGAGCAGTACTTGTAACCCAGGTGACTTGCTTCTGGAGGAGCCACAGCAACCACACAGAGGTGCCATTGTTAGAGAGGTGAAATGGTCTCCAGTCTGTGAACAGACAGTGCATTCCCAATATCTTCTGCAGCAAGGTTAAATTTCAAATTAACTGATGCAAAAGGTCTGGGGTGCTTGCAGTCTGATAAAATGAGGAACCAGTGCTAGCCTCCTAGGGTTTTATGTGCTCGTTGCTAAGGTCATGGGATCACTTGTAAGGAAAACAGAATACTAGCTGAGAGAGAGTTTAATCCTATGTATAGCCAAGCTCTATCTAAGCCTCACTTTCCTTTCTCAGTAGTGTGGTCCTGCCTGTGAGCAGAGGTCAGAAATAGAACAGTCAGAGAAATCTGCTGTGAGAGAGGTTTCCTTACCTGTAGGGAGAGAGTTACGGTGATAGCAGCTAGCAGTGAACCCATGATCCAATAGCCTCCTCTTATGAGCACTTTCCTGCCCAGTCGCTCAATGATGGAGCTCTGAAGGGCAGAAACCACACTGGTATCAGTGCCAGAGAGCAAACTGTGCCCCGTTCCCATGGTAATGTGACTTACACAGACTACAGCAGCTACGAGTTCAGAGAGTCCAACAGAGAGGGTCATGTAGGAGATCATATTTTCATCAAAGCCAGCTGCCTGGAGGACTTCAAAAGTATAAAAATAAATCTGGAAAGAAAACCCCATAAAAGAGTAAGAGGAGAAAATAATTGGTTTCTTACCCATACCTGTGTGATACTGCCCTAGATAGGAGCTGCTAGTCAAAGAGCTCAGCTTTGGAGCAAGCTAGAGTTCTGCACTCTTTTTGGTGGTGTTGACTTTATTAGCAGAAAAAATAAGATAAAATTTAATTCTTTCATTAATTAATTTGCTGAAAGATGAAATGCTGGGATAATTGGACCTCCAACTGCTACAATGTAATTAGGTTTGCAGGATCCTGGTTTAGGTGCTTTCAGAAACTGCCAGGTATGTTCTGTCTTCAGAGCCCGTCCAAAAACATCCTTGTAGGATACCCTCCAGAAAGAAGAGTGTGGGTTATAGAGTCATGAGGGGGTAAAACAAGCATCTTTTCAAGGGTCTCTGTTAGTGTGTGGAGACATGCTGAGATGATAAAGATTCCAGTTTAAGCTTTGTTAGGCTCAGCTGTGTATTTCCTTTGCAGATGTTGGTGCATTGTGCTGTTAGAGGTGAAAGAGTCATGCAGGCAAGTGCAAGGCTGTGGCCTCAAAAGAATCCCAGGCAAGTGGTGCTGCAAGGAAGAGCAGAGCTGCAGAAGCTGCAGAACAGTGAGCATGCTTGTTGGTTAGCTTTAAAGGCAGAGTGAGCATACTGCCATCCCAACATCTTAGGGTGCCAAAAGCCAGGGGGCAAATAGCAGCAGCTGCAGCGAGCAGTCACATACAGCTACACTGCAGATGTTGCCAGTAGAGGGTGGGCTCCTTTGTGAGAGTGGGCTCTGGGGCCTGTAACAGCTCCCAAAGGTGGCTGCTCAATGAGTCAAACTACACAGGAAGGTAACTTCAGCAAAGACCAAGAGCTGGGCAGAGGGATGCCAGAAGGAGAGCCCAGCCAAGCTTTGCTGCCCTGTAGGAGGATTGGCACACAGCAAAGTGTGGCCTGAGAAGCCTGAGAAAAATGGAGGGAACTCCTGTGAGCCATGATGTCTCTCTTAGGGTTGTCAGTAAGTGCTTTGAGACTTCAAGGGGAAATACACTCAACTGCATTGATGCCACATAGCTGAATTGTGCTGGTCAGAATAACTATCATGTACAGCTGCCAACGGAAAGCTGGTTCTTTCACTAGTTCCAGGACACTCATGATCTTGGTGTTTTTCATTGTTGCCTTCTCTTTCATGATGTCATCAATGTCTGCGTGGTGTTGGCCTTCACCCCAAAGCTGCCTTATGGCTGTGGAGGAGAAGAAGAGCGAGACCTGCCATGTTAATTCGTCTCTGTTCCCTAAGAAGTTTGTTGAGTAGGTGATGCAGGTGTCTGGCAGCCCAGTCTGCATGGGCTGGGGCTGTGGTGAGAGACAGAGATGTCCTAGAGGGTGTTCCTGAGCCCTGGTCCCCTCCTGCACAGAGGGACCTGTGTGACAGAGGTGCCCAGTGGGGTGCACAGTGACTCCCTCCCTGCCCATGGGTCCACTTTTCTCCTTTCCTCCTCCTCTCAGGGTATGAGCAGGGTACACAGCCAACAACCAGAGCTGAGGGGTGCCCTGTGGAGCCTTGAAGTGCAAACAGCCATTTTCATTTAGCATTTATCACTGATCATCAGACTGACAGTGCTGGTGGTGTCAGCTGAAAGGTTTTGTAATACAGAACTATAGGGAGAAGTAGTTTCATATTCTATATGGGAACTCCGACAAAAATATACTTGGTAGGTATTCACAGAGCCATATTGGAAATGAGCAGGGAGAAACTTTGTCCTGTTTATTTTTTTTCCATACAAGGAAAGCAAACATCCCCAAAAAATTGTGAAGAGCACAAACCTGGAGCCCTCAGTTACCTTTTTTGCAGCCTTCCTGGTCTCCTTTATGCATGAGGAGATATGGTGGAGACTCAGGGAAGAAGGGAAGCGTGAGCAGCTGGACCAGTGCTGGGAACCCACAGGAGGCCATCAGGATGGGCCACATGGACTGGCTGCCCAGCAGCTCCCTGGCAGGGATAAAATGTGTGTATAGCATAAGAGTTCATTGCTTTGGTTTTGAGGAGAGAAAGGAATGGATGGAAAAGCAGAGGAGGAAGCAAAAGGTAGAAGGGATCCAGAAATTAATTGTGTGGAAATTGATTGTGTAATACCTTTGTCCTGAAATTTGCCCTACGGCTTTTCCCAGTGTCCAAAAGAAAGAGGAAGTAGAGTTTGCAAATCCACGTAGCTTCCTAGGGGAAATTTCACCAACATATTGATGATGTAGAGGAACACAAAGACCTTGAGGTGAGAAGAGAATTATGGGAGAGAAAAATTCATAACCATTGGAAATAAAATTGGGTATAGATAATTAAGCATTACAGAATATAGATGCCTCAGGCACCAAGTTGTTTCTCATACCTCAACCCACATAGGAGAGTTTTTTCAGTACTAGATTTTCTAACTCTTTCTACAGAAGTATTTGGTCCTCTTTGCATATAGCAGTTTCCTGATCTTCAGAAATGTACGGTTTTCTCTTTGAAGTGCAGTTGTAGCCTCATCATGAAATCTCCTGTGAGCCTTAGCATATTTCAAAGGACACAGAGTGTGCTAATGCTGAATAACTAAACACCCTGTAGTAATATTTAATACCCTTGTAGTTAACCCACACAATCTCAGCCTTTTCTGGCATAATGCTATCAAAGAGCTGTATGGTAGATCCATGGCAGATTAACACACACAGTGCTATAGTCAATGTTGGTTTGTATATGATTTAGGTGGGGACACAAGGATTTCTTTTCTGCTGTGCTGCAATAATTTTGATGGTTTCAGGCAGCTGATGTTTCCATCTATATGTGAAATACTTATTAGCTCAGACATGCTGAATACTAGTCCTGGAACAAGAGCTATTTCCTGACATAGTGGTCACTGCCCCTTTTATCTGTTTTAAAAGCAACATGTTCTTCTCTTGGCTTTATGTGGTGGCAAAGCACTCTCTTTGGTTTGCAGTCTCTTTAACAAAAATCAGGTCTTTGCATGAGGCATGATACAGGTTCTAGAACACCACAGGATTTCTGTGGCTGAGCAGTTCTCAAACTCTAACTGCAGTTCTTCAATAGAACTGTCTGTCAGAGAAGCAATGTACAAAACCTGCTTAGTTGAAAACCAGGCATTAGCTTCTAAGTGAACTCCCTAGCGAGTTAAAATAGGCATCCCTGTGAATATCCAAACAATGGAAAAGCAAGTTTTCTGTAGGGTAAAAATGCAAGGACTAGTGATACCAGCACAGGATGTTTTTGCTGCATGTGGCTCTGCTTGGCAGGAGTTATTTTGCTTGATTAAGCCCAGATCTTTATCCTAACCCCAAGGACTTACTGCTTGGAATACTCCCCCTTATGAAAATACTACTATAAACCATATAATTTTCAGTATTGCTAACCAAAATTAAGATGATAATATACATATTTTTCCTTCAGAAAAAAAGCCCCTTGTTTCATACAGAATCAAAACATTCCTGACAGCTCTGCACATTTATACACTTGGCAAAGCTGAATTTCATTTAGTATTGGTGAAATTAGTAATAATTATGCTTTTTATTGTTGGGTGTTATAGAAGATCTTCTGAAAAAAAGATCACTGGCATTAATCTTTTATTTTCTTAGTGGAGGGTTATTATTTACTTTCAATAAAGATGTAAAATTTTGTGAGAGCCTGATGAGCTGTGGGAGGAATCACTCACCTGCACTTATCCCACACATGAAACGTCCGATTAGAATCATCTCAAAGGACTGGGCGATTTTACTGCAGCCCATGATAGATGCTGCCACTATCATGAGCAGATTGTTGCACAGGAGACATTTCTTTCTGTAAGTGCAAGACAGTGAAAAGATGTTTTGTAAATCAGAGGGGAAATGGCACTTCAGCTCCTGCCATGCAGGGTGTCCTGGGTGAAATTGTCATGCTAGTTTTGTGACATTACACGTATGTGGTCCAGGACAAAATAAGCCTTTCTATGCTTGTGTCTTCAAACATACATACTTGCCATATTTGACAGTGAGGTATCTACTTCCTGAAGATCCCAAGAGACCTCCTATCCCAAAGATGGACACGGTGATAGACCACAGGAACAGGAGGTTGTCCTGTTGGATGGGGTAGCCATATCGCTCCAGCCAAGTCTCATTAATGAAAGCCTTAACATGCTGAGACAGAAAAGAGTTTTCATTAACAGCACCTGTGACAGCAGTGCATGTATTTTATTATATTTACAGCATAACTTTGTTGCTTCAGCTAAAGTCACTATTTCATAAGGACTTTGAAAGTGTGCCTTAGCTAACAGACATGGTGTAATAGCTTGTGCTATGTTCATTTTACCGTTAAAAGGAGTTCAACCTCTGGGTTTTTGTCCTTGAAATCTGAGGAACTGAGGCATGGACTAAAGAACAGCACAAACACCCCTGCAAAGTTCTGCAAATGAGTTATGGGTTTTCTCTCACGTACCTGCCAAGAATGTCAGCTTACACAGCTCCCTGTTCAGTGCAGTTCCTAAATACCTTTTCACTCAGAACTTAGTGCTCTGAAGCCAGAAAATAACACTTTTCTTGCAAGGTGATCCTTACAAAATAATGTCTTCCATCTAGACCCCAGTATCTTTAGTGGAAGTGATCAGTGGAGAGAAGCAGACGTTTTCCTAGAGCATGGCTCCCTTGACATGTTCTATTTTTCTGTGAAGATGAGTAACTATAGAAGTATCAACTGAAACCACTGAAGTAGGCACAAATGCCGTAGGTTTTTAGGGGAGACAGATGCCACCCCAGTAAGTGTGTGTCTTCTGGGGAAGTTCTATGAACAACTTGCAGATCTCTCTTTTCTTCTGTTTTCAACACTTTGACATGTTCTGTTTTTCATGTAGCACAGCATAGCAATTGGGAAATGAGAGGAGAATACTGTGATTAAACCCTTCCTGACTGCCAGAGAGGAGATCCTCAAGCAACGACGTAGGCTCAGTGCCACCATTAACCAGTGTGCTATGTGCATCTTTGCCTACCTGAGACATGTAGGTAAGGCTAGAAATTTGAAAGCCAATTTGGAATGTTCCACCGAACCCCAGGACAGTGATCATTCGAAAGAGCCCCTGGTACTGTACCTGCAGAGGGAGAACAAAATCTTAAGCTTGTAGCCATACCAGGCTCTACTTGTAATGTTGCCTTTCATTCTCCAGAAGCATCTCATTTGTTCAAGAAATTTGCAGGTAGGGATGTTCCCTCTGCTTGCCCTGGTGTGAGGCATACATGCTCCTGTGACTTCCCTACATCCAACTCAAGGAAATACATCTCCCACCAATATCCCTGTCAGGGTGCCACAGCTGCCAAGACCCAGTTCTGTTCCCTGCCTTTCAAAACCTCTGCTTGCCCTCTCTGGCACTAAATAATTAGTGATACATCTAACAAAGCTCTTTTTTTCAGAAGATGAGCAAATATTTTCCAGTAAACGGAAACATGTAAGCAAAGTTAACATATTGATTTCGACACGGATGGCAGAGCATATGATGTACCAACATAATACCCCCAAATGGTGGGCAGAACCACTTCCAGGATGCTTATAGTGAACAGGACCCTCGTTGTTTTTCCTGAGATACTGGTTTGATTTCCTTTGAAACACTAGTAGCATACAGAAATCTCACAGATGTAAATACCCCAGCAAGTACTTACCAGGTTTGCTAGGAAGCCGGTCATGTCTGGCTGGGGACTGCTTGTCCAGCGTGTGATTTGTCATCACAGGCTTCTGTGTCTCTGTCTCCTGCCTCCTGCTATGGCACTGGGCATTTGGCTTTGGGGATCAGAGTTAAATTTTTACTGTTTCATCTTGACTCACTTATATTTACCTCAACCGGCCAAAGTTAACACTGCCAGATTAAATATTTCAGGAAATAATTGCATCTAGTCCAGTCCACAGGGGGAAAGTTTCAAAACAGAGGAAATTTGCATCTGAGGGCTAGTGAAGGCTTTGGAAAGGGAAGGGAGAAGAGTTTAGGCAAAGTAATCCAAACAGTTTTCCAGAATAGTAAAATATTTTTATGATATAGACTGATGTGTATATCTGCCATAATCTGCAGAAAGCAAGAAGCAGCTGGTACAAAGTTTAGGTACTGTTATTTATTAAGTAAAATATGTCTCTGTTTCAGAGTCATTGGTATAGTAAATGTTGTTATTAGAAGAAAAACAGGCAGGTTTCAAAGCCTAATTCTGCTGTGAGGAAGGGTATTTGTTGTCTCGTGTTTATGAGGGTGTTTGTCTGCCAGGTGTGGTGAAAAAGCAGTAAGAGACAGTGTGCCCTGGCAGAGGCTTTCAGAATAGAGCATCATTCGGTCCTGAATGCTCCACTCAAAAGAACCAGTAACTAAAACCCACTTTCTCATGAGAGTCATCAAAGAAGGTAAATATTCCCTAATGAGTTAGGATGGGACAACTGGGATCTTAATCCCTCAGGTTTCAGCTTTGCCACAGAACAACTCCAAAACCAGTGTTGCAGGCATGGAATAGTCACCTTTGGCTCCCAGACGTTCCTCTCTTGTGATGGGAAGCTTGAACTGTAGCTCTACTTGGCTTCTGCTAGAGGTAGCACTTGGAAGAAAAGAGGTTGGTTTGCTTAGGGCTTTCATGTGTGGTTGATGCCCTGTGCTGTTCCTGCCTTCAAGTCTTCTGCTCACTCTTACTCATGCCAGGGGACTGTCCCTGACCCCCAAGGCCTGTGGTGGGGGCAGATGGGGCTATGGGGTTATCCTGAAGCCCTCAGCAAATGCTCAAGCTCACCCTCGGGACTTGTACTTACTGTTCATAAAACACAGAATGCAATTATTTACAGAGGGGTTCACTGCAAATACTGCGAGTCTAAAGAAATTAGAAAAAAAATACATGTTAATAATAAAACCTGAGTTACTTGTGTAATTCCAACTATTGCCTATATAACCACAGAGCAAATGCTGTTTATCCTGGCTGGCAACAGCATTTAGCATGATTTGACAATTTTGGTAGTATTTTCTCTTGAACACCAACACTGGAGCTGGTTGCATATCTATTTATTGTTTCAAAATGTTAGTGTTTCCCTTTCTATTACTTCTTTTTTTCTCAAGTTCAATGGAGGTGTAGGGAGTCTGTATCCTAAGGCTTCCCACACTCCTTGAAAATAATTACTGAAGCTCTCAAATAGGAACAAATTCTACTAGCTCACAGTGAAATTTTTCATCAGTTTGGGGACTTATGGTGATTATGAGCTGCACATGACTCTATAGCACGGTGCTGTTTCACCTTATGAGCAATTTTTAGGCTAATTTAATACCAGGATTTTACCTCTTGTTTTTTTTTATCAAGTCAATGGAATTGACCATTTCTGTTAAAAATGTCACCTATATTATTGAAAAAGCTGTTACACTGTGGAAGTTCTGCATGGTTTCATGATTAAGGAATTATTACAGAGTTAAGGAGATCTTGTAATTATATTTTTTGTATAGAGGCGTAAGAAATGCTTGCTGTGAAATGGACAAACACATGAAACTCACCTTCATGAGGTGTGTTATAAATCTGTCTAAAGGGCTGAAAGCTGGGCTAGTTCTAAACCAGCTTGAACCACATACTAGATTGCTCTTTGTGGATGATTGAAGTCATCTGCAGTTTAATTTCACACTGAGAGAAACTCAGTGGTTTCTTCTAGGTTTGATTTGAGGTTTATTATAATCCAAAACCGAAAATGAAATTCTTCATAGTAAAATCACAGACTGAAACTAAAGAAGGTGTTTGGCACAAAACATGGTGTGAGTGAAATCTGCAAGTTTAGCATGGCACATATTTTATGGTACAATGACTTATTGATTATTGACTGCTTTCAGGTTTTCAAGGTGTTATGAGAGTGACTTTCATTCATGAAGATCCCACTTGTGTCTATGAAGAAATATTCATATCTTTTTCGATAATAGAAGACAAATAATTTGCTTCTCCTTTTACAGCACTTCAAACATGATGGCAAAATTATGACAATGATGGGAAAATTTTACTTTGTAGCTGTTTAAATCCAGTTTGTTTGGCTGCTGGGACATTAAACACAGCAGTGTTTAGGTGTGAAACAGCAACGGAAATAAAATAGTTAAAATTTCCTCGTTTCCTGAAGGCAAGAGAGGCAGGGTAAGTAGACAAAATAATTTGAGGTGTTGCTTGCAGAAGTATGAAAGAGAGGCCTTGGCATGGGATTAAAACAGCAGGCAAACATTAATGTTGGCAGGTTAATCATAGACTGTCTGGTTTACCAGTAACTGCAAGAGATGCAGCAACAGTGAGAGTTTGGGAGAACAGACCTCCTGAGGTCTGGCACACTGGGGTAGTGCAGCCTGGGAGGATGAATGCTGGAGATGGAAAGGTTCATTAAGCCATGAAGTGCTGGAAGTGCCCAGCAAGGCAAGGAAGGATTGACTTCTTGCAGGGAACACTGGAGCTGTATCAGAGTCAGCATGGCTGGACTTCACAGGAGAGGGACAGAAGGATCCAAGGCTCATGTTTTTAAACCAGACATGGTGCTGTGTGACAGGGATGAACAGTCCATCTGCAATGTTCCTGCTGTGCTTCTGCTGAGACCAGTCCCTGCAAAAGGATCAGCAAAGACAAAGTGACAGTGACCAGGTGTACAAGATAAAATTCTCTTCTGCATGTGCAGAAAGGTTGGGAGTCCTGAAAAGAAGCTCTGAAAAAGAGAAAGAGGAGAGTAAAATCAGGGAGAAGGGACTGAGAAATGAAAGTGGAAGTTACCACAGCAGACCAGCTACTGACCTGGTACAGTGCCCATAGTAAACCCTGATCCTAACATCTATTTTTCCATGTGTCTACTGAGTAAGACTCCATGGCTTTAATGTCTGTTCTGCACAGTTCAAAAGTACTACCACCTACAATGGCACCTCATTGTGGAACCTGTGCAAACTGGGGAAGAACAGCATGGAAGAAGATAAATGTTACATTTGTGTTCCATTTGGCCTCATGCTGTTCTTTCAGAGTCAGGCATTAGAAATTCCCCTTTACAAAGTGATTAGGGAAGCTGGAAGCTGCACTGCCACAGAGGGAATGGGGGAAGAGGGCATGGTGGCAAAAGAGCCCCTAAGATTTTGTCCTGGATTCAAGCAGCACCTTGTTAGGTCTTTAGGAATTTGTGAGGTGTGGAGGCACAGAAGCTGTTGTGGGCAGGTTAACATACCCGAGCCAGTCTGGCCCCAGCGTTATTGCAGATTAAGTGTCCATAATTCAAAATTTCTCTCCTTAAATGACATGATGTGTTTACATAGCACCTTTCCAGGTCAGTGAAGCTCTGTCTTTTTCTGTTGGGTAGGTAGATGGTGAATACCAGTTTTGCAAGTAAAGAGTAGTAGATGGATGGGTGAAAACATGTGAAACCAAATCAGCAGCCAGTGGATGGCCAGGGTGAAATCTCATGACTGCTTGACTCCCACCCAGATACATCTTTTGCAGTGTCTGCAAGCTTAAAATGAAGAATTTCCTTATGGACACCTAAGAGTTATTTCAATGTGTGGAGATGGGCAGATAACCAACTACATTAATGCTAGGGAATTGCAGATTTGTGGCCACAGTAATCAAAATGCACAGCTGCCAGTGCAGAGTTTAGTCTTCCATCACTTCCAGCACACTCAGGATTTTGCTGTTTTCTTGTGTGTCTTTTGTTTTAGCAGATCATTCACTTCTGCTTGGTGCTTTCTCTCACCCCGCAGTTCCTTCACAGTTGTGCACAACAAAGAGGAAAGCTCGATACAACTGTGCTATTCATGCATCATGATATTTGTATATGCAGATCTTTTAGATTATTAATTAGTTATTCCCCTAAGGTTTCAAAGATCATAATATCAACTGGCATGGCAGGAGAACACAAGTGACCTATGTTTATATCCTGTATTCACAGTCTGCAGATATAAACCCCTATCTCACAGTTGTCATATAAACCTTAACTAACACCATACAGTTTTTATGCAGAGTTACAAAGACTTGCTGCATCTGGACAGATTTGTTGGAAAGGATTTGTAGTAAATTGGTGAGGTAATGTATGCAGTTTGCTGACAAGGTGAGACAGCTCCCAGTAGGCTGCCTGCTACTTCATTTGGTTTCAAGGCCAGGCTGGATGAGACCTTGTGCAGCGTGATCTAGTGAGGAGGTGTCCCTGCCCAGGGCAGGGGGTTGGGACTAGATGACCTGTAAGGTCCATTCCAACCCTTAAGTTCTATGATTCTATGATTCTATGATTTAGGTGGTTGTGGTACCCAAATCACCTCATTACACCTCATCTTACATGGTATCTTTTGAAAATTTTGCCTGCCCATGTTAACATTTGTTAAATGGCAACTGATGTGTTCGTTGCCTGGGCATGCTCACTCAAAGGTAGCTGTAGTTGACTTCTTATTCTTATCTTCTGCAAAGAAGGTTGGGTGGAAAGAGCTGGGAATGAAAAGTCAATGGAAACAATATGCAATTTGCTTTGGGAAGCATCCTTTGCGTTTCGACCCCACTGTCAAGGACTCTGAAGATGCTGTATCTGCTTTTATTACCATGGCTGAGATTTGTTCATAGAGATTTGAAAGGCAATTGTGAAGAACCCATCAGTTCCCAGCACAAGGAGCATTACAACCAACCACTGGTACTGAACCTGCAAGGAATAGTCCAAGCTCGTCACAGAAGGAACTGGTGATATC